CTTGACCATCCCGCACCGCGCGCCCTGCACCCCACTCCCGCCGCTCAGCAGCCGGTTGGCAGATTCCCCGCACCCATGACCGCGGCATGCTTTTGCCAAGTCGAAAGCTGGCGATTCCTCGTCGCCCAGTGGCTCGCTCTGGGAGACCTTTGGCTTTCCTGGTGGTATCTCGATAAAGCCGACTGCCCAGAAGGGTATTGGTGCTTCGGGCTAACAGTGGTGCTCCCGTTTAGCACCGAGGACGCGCATTGGCTGCACGACCAGCGGGAGCATGGGGAGGACTCGCTCCGGTACCAGCTGCAGGAGCAGGCGCGCGAGGCGTACTGTTGCACCATATCGACGCAACTGACGTCAGGGCACATACCCGGGCCAGGGGAAAAGCCAGAATGGAATCCTGACTACAAACCGGAAGCCATGTACCGCCTAGAGGTGGCCATTCAAGATGCCATCCGCTTCGTTAAATCCGGTTCGTTAATTTTTATCAACTGTTCGTTAAATTCCGTTGCAAAAAAAGGGAGAAAAATTCAGAAAAAACGAAAAAAAATCCAAAAAAATCGAAAAAAAACCCAAAAATTCACAACAACTGCGGCTAGTTAAAAATCTAGTATGCATAGGTTGAAATAAAATACAAACATGCTCTCTAATAGCGAATTCTATAAACTATAAGTATAAAAAAACCCAAAAATCCCCAAAAAATCCAAAAATCCGTTAATTTTTGGTTAATTTTTGTCTTTTTTCGTTATTTTCCGTTAATTAACGGATTAATTAACGGAATTAACCTCTGTCCGTTATTAACGGATCCGGGTGGCCACCTCTAGTACCGCCCCTGGACCCTCCAGGTGCACCCCCATCCGCATCGTCCGTACACCGGCATGGGGACGCAGGCTTTTCGTCAGCGTATCACGGCGATGATCGAACACAAGGGGGGACGTGTCCAGGCGTGGCGCGGCATGGAACTGAATTACTACTACCGCCAAGTGCATATCAGCCTCGACGTAAGTGTACCATTTTCGGACGCACGCTGCTGGCGAATGGAGGGCGGAGGTGTGACTCGCCGCGAATACGCAGCCACACACCCATCAAGCGCCTCGGAGGTGTTCGTACGGGGGCGGAAGGAGTTCAGGATTCAAACCGAACCGAACGCCGTTGTACTGCCTTCGGCTGCCTTCAGGAAGCCAATGCGATCGTGGCCCGACGACTCAATGCTGGCAAGCCACCGTACACGGACGTGGAGCTACGCGCGGAGGAGCGCGCCTGGCGGAGGGCCATCCGACATCAGCGGCGGGAAGCACGGCTGCGTGGGCAAGCACAAGATGACGTCATGGTGGACGCGCCCACTGATGGACCACCGGCAGTACCGGCAACCCTCGGCGCCTCCGCGATGACGACACCAGCCCTGCCACCTGGTTTTGATGGGACGCGCGACGAGAGTACGGTGACGCCATCACTCCCGCTGGGATTCGGGGGCTGAGGGGCGCGGACTACGGAAAGTTAGTAGACGAGCCGGCGATCGTGACAGGACGGTGTGCGGGCTGGCGGATGACGCGATGATTGGAGGACGCCTGGAGCCAGCTGGCATGACTAGAGCTATCCAAGGGAATCTCTGGCGGAGGAGGAGTGCGTGGGGGTCCAGCTGGCATGTGATTGTACGGGACGAACTGTAGCGGAGCGCGATACTGATTGGGTCTTTTCTTGTCCAGTGGTGTGAATGGACGTGGAAGGGTGACGAGAGGGGATGAACCCATGTGTGCCAGTTGTACCAAACAGACGATCCTGTAATAAAAAGCCGCGGGGAGTCTGTCCAGGCAGCTCTCCGGCAGGCCTCTGTGTGAATGATTGTGTCCCAGCCGCCTGTACACTCCCGCCGTCGCGCCACAGCCCCTCGCCGGCTCGGCCAATCCTGGCCTTGCCCTCTTGCGGTACCCGAGCGTCCGCAAGCCGGCCTAAGGAGCCCCGAAGCTCTCTGGCGTGTCTCACACTCCCGCTGAGTGTTGAGTAAGACGAGTGCGGAGTCCTGGAGTGACTGAGGGCCGTGCAGAATGTGTGAGAAGCGCGGTCGCTGGAGCTGGAGTGCCGTAGCACCCTACGGTGGTGCTGGTCGGCCGGTACGCGCAACAGGTGGACGCTGTGAGGGAGCTGCGCTGTACGGTTCTGGTGGAGACCTCTATGGTGAGGTGTGATATGGGTATGAGCTTCCCTGGAACGCTGATGGAAGGTGCTGCTGTCATGGCGGCGTTGGCTAGTGCTGTCGGGCGAGGAGTACGATTCCTGGGCATTGGCATCCATTGGATTGGGGAGCTCCTAGTGACCCTACTCGGGTGGCTGGCTTGGATGCTAAAAATCGATGAGACAAAGATGAGTCCGATTCTGGGAGCGGTCAGAATGGTCTACAATGGCCTGGCCCTCCTCATTTTGTTCAATATGGCTGCCGCCATTTTCTGCGCAATGGGGCAACTTCTGCATGCCCCAAAGTTATAGACGACAATTAATCTGGGACGGAGGAAGTATGATGCAACGGAGTGATGGTCATGGGATGAGAAACACTCCATGGGACATTGATGTTGAAAAGACAAATTGAACATGAAAGATTCAAGAAAGGTAGACGCTTTTCAGAATGCAGTGGAAATGTTCTGGGGCACAACCCTGAATCCCTTTGCGACTCCCCTGACTTCTATGGCGGGGGCTCACCGCCGTACGGCCACGCGTGGATGCGGATGGTGCTTTGTACTTGCATCGGAATTACTTGTGTGTGCGCCGATCGAACGAGCAATATCGGATTCCATTGCGGCGAGCAAGAGCTTTCATGCGGCACTTGCCTCTGTGGTCAATTGACATATATCATAAGCCACAAGATTTTCGGTACGACGACCAATGTGGCGACTTGTCTGTGATATAGTGAAGATCTTGTGAAGGAGTGGATTCTCCCAGTCAAGGCTCCATTAGGATTCGTTATTCGGGGTTGGACGTCCGAGCGCTGTCCTTTGATTGGCCCACTTACAGGCCGAATTTCGCTGCAATTGCCACAGCACTGCAAGTTTGGGCAGCCTCTCGCTCCGGAAATAGTTCTCAACAATTGTTAGCGCGGCTGGCACCCAATGGGCTGTTGAACCTAGCAGAACACAAGTATTCGATGTTTCAATGAAGATGGAACATAAGCCTGCTGTACCGATTGCTTCACGCTAAAGTTTGTCCTGCTCAGTCAACTGCATTAGCATGGGCCACTTTTTACGTGAAGTGATTTGGTAGCGCGAAGAAGAAGACAGGCTATGCCTGGGGACACACTTTTGTTCCCCAGACCAGTATTCCCCCGTCTTTCCCACACGTATCCATACTCCGCTTACCTAGGTGTGGATCAGGGTGGGAGCAAAAATAAGGTGAGCAGCGATGTGGACGTAAACTGTCAAAATCGGTCCAGCGGGCTGCCAATCACATTCTGAAACGTCCATGAGCCCCAAAGGTCAAACGCCCTGGTTGCTCATGGACGACCTATGGCACTCTAGAGGCTACTGTGCACTGCGTGTTTGAATGTCTTGACCGAAGCGATGTGACAAACTTTGCCACTTTGGCACTACTCGAGGGCATCCATTACACCTCTCTTGCTGTGGTCCTTCAAAAAAATCCATCATCCAACCTTGCCATTGCTGCAAAAGGGCAGAACACTCGAGCGTTTCCCTCCTCCGTCGATAGCAGCGCACAAAGGTAGCGTTGACAGGATGCGTGCACATGCCATACCCATGTGACCATTTCTGCAGAGACTGCTTGTAGCACTGCCATTTGCAACGTAGGGCTGGTAACATCAATGGCAGAAACTACATCGTTGACTGCTTGGAGCGTGATTCCTCCGCTGAACGCCTCTGACTCGTGTGGGCAGGTATTCTGGTCTTCATCTCCTATTGTGTGATTCTACGGACCCATTCTGTGGCTCCAATTGGACTTCGGCACCACAGTCTGAATCCGTTAAGTCGTCTTGTCAGTTGCAGCATTGGTTACTCAGGCACCCTGCGTGAGTTATTTTTTACAAGATGGGTTTACACAGTTGGAAATCTGTCCTGTGTGTTGATTGCATTCAGATTGAATACATGGAGCGCTGAGTGCTCCATTATATAATAACAAAATTCTTGGATAGTCACAAAATCACACGACATCGCGCCGCCAAGGACCTGGCAGACATTGAACAGGAGACATCCCTCGTGTGGGGATGCAACTTGCATAAAGCGCGTGGCATGACAGGTTCAAAGAGGGTGAACACATCAACACTACAACTCAGCAACAGTACACATCACAACACAAATAAATCTACAAATAAATCAAGAAAGTCACAATATGGGTGTCAGAATAAAACAAAGCACATCAAGTCTGGGGTATTTGCAAAAATGATGACATGAATGTCATAATGCATCACGCTAACAAAGAAAACGTGTGTTCTGCCCCCCAGCAGTTCTCTCAACCATTGGTGCATGCACCAACAAAATACTCAACCCTCCCTAATAGGTGGCAACTTCCAATCCTGACTTGACCCTCGATGGACACCTATCATTTACCCACAGCAACTTGTACACCAGAATGGTGGACCTGCCTACTAGATAAAGCTGCCAACAAAGTAGACTCCCAACCAGCTTAGCACTGCACCAACGGCACTGCTCAGGCAGTGTTCAAATAGCAGGAGACAATAACCACCAATGCTAGCTGTGCTGCCAGCATCGATCCTTTCAGCACACTCCCAAAGCAGCCACAAGACTGCATTTCAGCGGATCTTGGTCGCACATGCAACAAGACCAAGGAATGAGCCAGCACATAATGCTACCAAAACCTGGAAGCCAACGTTCAACTTTGGCACACATGCTGGCCTTTAGCATACCTTCAAGGTGATAGCAGCACAGGCATGAAATTTACTGTTGGCTGACTTCCTTGCTGGCCTTTTGAACAGCAATTGAGCAGCTGCAGCCGCCCGTTCTTGCGTGCCTTTTCAGTGGCGAATATGCCTGCCCAAACCTGCCAGTTCAGCGAGCCCTGTGGCACCTCTTTGCATATGGCACGTCATCTTCTGATGCTGGCTGGCCTTCCTGTTGCCTTCCACTTCCCGTTTCCTGCTCAAGTATCACTTCACGTTGCCTGCAGACACACACACAACCCATGAGGTGGTGCACAACAAAAGGCATCAGGCTATGCAAGCAACACTTGTCAGGAACCCAAACAATAAGACCAACACTATTGTCTGCAGCGAAAGAACAAATGCTACGATGTTTCTTTTGGAGAATGTGCATGGGATATTTACACTGGTGAAGCAGTTCACTGTGGTGCAAAACAGATATTAGAACAAGCGCCGTAGAAAGAGCATTGACAATGCCTGACCTATGAGACTTTGTCTACATCGTTGGGTTTCGCTTTGTTATAATATTGTTTGCCTATTCCTTGCGCCTGGGGAGTACATCGAAGCGATGGATATCAGAAAGTGGACAGCAAGGCAAGCAGTTGGGAATTCCTAGCAAATCAGAGTGTAAGAGAAGTTGTGAATTCAAACCAGTGCAACAGAGCTGAAGGAACAAACAAATATGCACCTTTTCGCTTTGCTGCCACCTTGGTTACTATCCTCTTCTGTGGATTTGCTCCTGGGGGTTGTACACACAGCCACAGGACAAGAGCCATCTCCATTCACAATACCCTGAGATTGCTGCTCTGCGTTTGTACCACCACAACATTCCTGGGCGGCTACATGCACAGGGGCAGGCGTAAACGATGGCCGGCGTGCCTCTGTGGCTGAAACACATGGCTGTTCTGCTCTGCAATCAAAAGCCTGGCTTGTTAAAGGGGCAGAAGCAGAGGGATCTTCACGGGGAGGTGTTCCTGGGGGTGCTGCTGCACTCCTGCAAGAACAAAATCCCACAGTGAGTCCCGTGGGTGGTGGTCAGAATGCTGAAGTCCATGCAACAGATTTAAGGGGGCACATGAAATCGTTCAAAATCACCAGCTACATAATGTTCCTCCATTTACTCAATATCATCTGAGTGCCATACATCATACTGCCTTTCAGGGCAGTCTCTTTTTTCATTCACTTTTCGCTATTCTGGTGTTGCCTATATTTTATAGTCATGAAAACTCCCATTAGCTGCTGACAGTTCCTGCAAGATGTTTCTGTTGGCCATTCTTGGTTCACAGTCAGCCTCACTGTCTCAGCACACCTTATCTCCTGTGCTGATGAACAAATTCCACATGCTTCCACAAAGGTAAACAATTGGGAGCATGCATGCCTAGGCTTGCTTGCACTCCCAACCTTCTGCATCACATACTTGCTGCACAGCACCTTCGTCTACTCCATCTACGCACGCGCATTTGAAGCTGGCCATGCAGTCAGCAGTTGTACAATAATATAGAAAAAAGGTGAGACAAATAAAGAAAGGTGCAACAAACACATTGTCATCAGCTGCCACTTACCCCTGCTGCCGCTCCTCTTTCCATTTTGCTGCATTGCTCTGCAGACAGTTCCCCATTGCTGGGAGAAACACCTTGTTGTAGAAAAAGATGATATCTCCACATTCCTGGACCTGTGGGTGCCACATCGCAAGGTGTGTAGGTGAAGGCCATCAACTTGAACACAGCAGCATAATGACAAATAATAAATGGGACTTGCAAGGGGCTCAGAACTTGGACATCTCCTGAAGACCCACAAAACAACAACCGAATAGTAGGAATGAGTGTTTTCGTCCATTCTATTGTGCATACAATCTTTGTAAACAGGGGGCAGCCTTGAAGAGTGGTATGAGTATGGCTCAACAGAACAGGCACTGCGCTGGTCTAGATGCTGCTGGAAACTCCATATTTGCTAATGGGACACTGTGTCTCATGTGCTGTGTGAGGCACACACCATTCTGCCAATCCGGAAATTGAAGTGCATCATCCACTTCCAGTCTATGAGTGTGAGCTCTCTGCAGGTGCACCAACGACAAACGGAAGTAATTCTTTGCTGCGGGAGTTGGGTGATGAAGCATTTACCATTCACTGAAGAAGCTTATCCTCACAATTGTGAGGGAAAAGTCTTCCTTTTCCTCTTCTATTCCACAAACGCAAGAAGCCACAATCCTACAAAGAGGATTTGCAATACAACACAAAGATAATCTGGGGTCCATGGCTCCAATCCAAGCACAACAACCATGTGTGCTTTGACTTACCCAGAGGCCAGGCTCCGTCTGCCGAATGACTACTCTTGTGAACACCTTTGCTTGTCCGTTGGTGTCCTTGGCGTAATGGGTAGTCAACTCCTTGAAAGTGATGTTCTCCCCATTCACTTTGCACACACCATAAATGGTGCACAAGAGAATTTGGTCAATATGACGGTTGTAAAACAGCCTTGTTCGCTCATAAAGTGCAAACCGCAGCGCCAAAATGATCTGGTTGGTGATCTTGGCTGCTGATGTGGCCTCCAGGTGGCGCTGCATCTCGAGCAGCCGCAGTACGCTCAGTTTCAAAACTTTTCTGAAAAAGTCGTTTATGGGAACAAAAGCTGGTATGATCATCCCTCTCATCGAAAGTCCCAGCTTGGCTGGCAGCGGAAACTCTTGGCTGCCTGTGCTGCTGCCTGCTACAAGTCGCACGCCATTCACTGTCAGGAGTGAAAAGTGGCCAGATGACAGCCTGAATTTGCTTGTGTCAAGCTTGACAATGTAGTCAACGTCAGGAAACAGGGCCTGTCCAGCAGATACGAACAGGTTGCGTGGGTTTCCTTACTGCCATGTGGCCATTTCCATCCTTTCTATGGACTAACATTCCCCCAAAGAACCAAGCCAAAGGTGAATGATAGCAGCCAATGCAATCTAGCTTGTGCTTGCGAATCGCCACATCGAACAATGCCTGGAAGACAAAAATACAACGCTTTCCCTTCCTACCCACAGTAACACTGACTCTTCAGATGCAGAAAGCTAGTGCAACAAACAAAGCAACTTCTGCTGCAGTCATCGCACTCTGTGTTTCTCATGGCACCGATTACATCAACAAAACTATCTTGGGAAGGCCATTGCTGCTGCGATCAGATTCTGCACTGCCAGCCACATTCTGTAAGGCTTTGCGCCTATTCTCACAAGCTCTTGCCAGTTTCTCACGGAACGGAAAAACAGCAACAACCACAGCAGGGGACAACAACTTGCAGCTTACCAGATGATGGCCCAGCCTGGAGACTGCGGAGGCACCTGTCTGCATTGATGACGAAAGAGTAAAATGAAGATCCCGCCTGCCAGGCCCGCAGTTCAAGGACCTCTTCTTCAACAGCTAGGAGATGCTCCCTGAACTCAGGAGGCAAATCTGGACATGCCTTGACGAGCATCTCAATATTTCTCCCCATGTCAAATGCTGTTATCCCCAGCTTTTCAACCACCGCAGTATGGTCCAGAAAGGGCTGCACAACACACCAATCATCGTCAATTCTACACTGCACCACGAACCTTCACCACGTATAGCACAGGTAAAAACGACTATCCCAGAAGACACAGCCACAATATGACTCATGGACAATCCAGATCAATACCATTGCAATCATGGATAGTCCATAGCAATACCACTACAGACAATACATTGCACTTACTATATTCACAATGGCCACTAGTTATTCCAGTCGCTATTTCTCCAGAATGCAACGAGGCCCAGTTGACACAGTCAGTCAGTGGCCATTCCAGACAAGGTCCCACTTCACAACCAACCACTCACCGTCCCATATGCAGCAGCAGTCAAGACTGCACAGCATGCAAACAAGGACTTTCGAAATGGAGCAGAATTCAACAGTGGTGCGAAGTCACTGCTCGGCTTTCGTTGTTCTTCATAGCTGAGCTGTCCTTCAAGTAACTTGTAGAACAACTTCACCACCTGCCCAGAGACACCAAAGTAACTTTAGAACCCCAGCACATACAACACATTATGGCCAAAAACCTGGCCAAGACTCTGCCCAATTCATCCAGCAGAAACGCTGCAGATGCAAAACAGCCACTCACCACACTTGTCTCCTCTTTTCTACCTTGCTGTTCTTGCAAGGGAAGGCGCATAAACTGGGCCGATGGGGCAAACAGCGAATCTGCCATGGCCAAGATGTTGCAGCGGATCTGGTCGGCTAACTCTGGCCCACAGACATTCAACCAGGAGCAGAGCCGTTGAGAAGGCTGCACACAGCACAAGACAAGACAAGGCGACAATGAGTGCCGACACACTTGCCATTGCATGCAATTGCTACAATCCAGGAAAACATGCTGACAGTCCATTGTGCCAGCATTTTGAGATTGCAGAGGAGCCCTTCACACACAGGGAAACACAACAAAGCAGCCCTTCCAGCACTGCCAGTTCAGGCGGCTATGTGTATACCAAGGTAGGGCAACTGCAAGAAGATGTGAAGAAGGAACAGGGCCAATCGTGGTAGTGCGATGTGACGTCACCAGTGTCAAAGCCGTTGATATTCAGGGCATATTGCTGCCCAGAGCCCAGCAATGGGCTTAGTGTGCGAGAATTCGCTTGCTGAGAAACCCTTTGCTTTTCTCCCCTTCCAAACGACGATTCACTGCAAATAATGTGCAAAAATTGTGTGAACGCCTGGGCCCGTTCTACGGTGCGACTTCTAGCTCTGAGCCCCAGTGTGGTGCGCAAATTGGAGCCATTTGTGGACTCCCTTTTTCCCAGTGAAGGCGCGTGTTGGAGCGGATTGGGCCCTTGGAGATGGGCGGGCCGCCGTGTTGAGAGTGGGCGGTGGAGATAAGTCCAATTCGCATGCATATCCGCAAAATTATGTGGTGTGGATCCGAGTTCCGCCCTTTCTCCCTGACCACGTCACCGCCACCCAATTTCCTCAGAAAGCCCTCCTCGCGTAAAAAGCCCAGCACCCAGCGTCCCCGCTCCGCACACCCAGGCGCCGCCCCGCGAAAGCGGGCACGGATTCGCCCAGACCGCAATCCAGATCTCACCTGGTCGCCGCAACCGGCCACGAACGCCTCGAGCCTCTCGGACGCACTCTGCGAGCCCACCGCCTGCGCGTCCGCCGCGGGCTCATTCCGGCAGGCCTGGGCGCCTTGCCGCGACCTCGTCTGGGGGGACGCCGCAATGGGGCGCAGGGGCCACGTCTGATACCCCCGCACTCCGCCCGACATCCCGGATGCCGGCTGCAGGGACGGGGGCCGAACGTTGAGGCGGCCCTCTCCTCCGCCTGGGACCTCCTGCCCGTCTCGCGCATCCTGCAGCACCTTGCTCGCCATGTGGTCTGGCCCTTCCCGCGCTTCTGGCGCGCTGTTGTTTGCGGGTATCTGGATGCGGGCGTGGAGTCTTGCGCTCGCTTTTCTAGCCCCTGCCCGCATCAGCGCCCGCATGGGAGCGAATCGGAGGGGCGTGACGGGTTGACAGAAACTCGCAGGGGAGGTTCACGGCGATCAGGCGCCCCGTCCGTCCATCCCGCAGAGCGTCATTTCTGGCGGCGTGGTGGGATGTACGGCGGCGGGACCCTCTGCGGAGAATGGGACATCGCTGATGGGACAGGTTGCGTGGCTGGTGAGGAGCAACCCGAGGATGCCATCTGGGCGAGGGTGCCGTACTTTAGGGTTTGTTGAGGCGGGTCTTTGGGAAACGGCTTGGTGGCTGCTGGAAACACGTCACGCAAGTTTCAAGGACGAATGCATCGAGCGCATGGCCGTGAAAGCCGCTGTGCCGTTCTTCCCGTCATGCTTTCTTACCCGCACTGCGACAGCGTCGCCCTGGGCCCAGCCTACCCGCAGAAGCACAGGTTCTGCACGCGCATGGTCCCAACCGCATACCGTCCTTCAAGTAAGGGACACTGACATCTTTCCTTTTCCAGACAGCCAAGGTAGGTGGCATCGCGTTTTGCCGTTTCCCGCTGCTCTTGAGCACATACTTTTGCGACCAACCAAAAGCCGGCTCCTTTGAGATATCTGTTTCCTGTGACACGAGTGGTGCACATCTTCTCCATTGGAGCAGTGGTCGAAGTCCGAATTCCAACTACAAGTTATCTCGTTTAATTAATGAAACAACGTTGATGTAAAGCCAGCAACCATGCCCTTAAGGCGAGCCCACATTTTATTCGCTGTAAACGGGCCAACACAGCAACAATCCCAGGAGTCGAAATCTAGCTGCCGATTTCGCCACTACCCCTACCCTTCATGCCGCTTCCTTTGCTTTCCTCCTGCCCCTCGTCCTATTCCCCTCCCCCACTCCTCCCCAACCTCAGGCAAGCCCAGCCCACTCAAAGAATGTGCGTTCTTTGGAACCGGAGGGTGCCAGGGAGGCGCTTTTACGCCCATTCTGTATCCGCTGCACCTCCTCAGGGCTGAATGACAGCAGCCGTGACAGGACTTCCACCATGGGGCTGTCGCTGGAGAGCGTTCCCTTTTCAAACGCAGAGACAAGCACATTCTTCAGGTAACCCTTGTCCACTGTGTCCCTTGAGGTAGACCGCTGCAGTTCCGCGATCTCTTGCTTCAGGACTTCGTTGGCCTTGTCCCGCAGCACATGCGTGCGCTCACTGTCTTCTGCATCCAGCAAGAGTTGCTGCACCTGGGAAATGTGAAAAGACCCACGAACACCATCAGTAAGAATGACAATGGCAACAGTGGCAAGCCAAAACCACAAACGTGGATGTTACGTGCACCTCTCCAATGGCCGTCTACATCTGAAGTTTCCACAGAAGAGAAGTTGTACCAGAAAGAAGTACAACAGCAGTACTGTGCCTTGTCCATCTTGTACATGGCAGAACGGTCTGCACTAACAGGTCAAGGAGGAAGTGGGCAGCAAGGACAAATCCTCTGGCATGTGCCCTACCAAACTCCCAACAGTGTGCATGCTTCAAAGGCCACACAGACCCAAGCACCGCAATAGTGCACAAAGTGCCAAGAACACAGCTGAAGTAGGCAAGCGAATCCCATTACCTGCTCCCTGAGGTGCTCCACCTCACTCTTCAGCCTTTCGACCATACTCAGCGGGCTCCCACTATCTGCGGCAGATATCGCAACTGGGCCCATGCCGTCAGACCCCTCAAAGACTACTGGAATGGAGACTGCACGATCTCTAACTGCAGAAGATGCCACTGCTTCCTCATCACTGCCTTCCATGGACAACGTGCCTTCCCAGCAGTCAGCACCTGGATCTCCATTGGTGGCTGCTATTTCCCTGGACGCCTGCAGTGTGTCCGGGGGCGGCAGACTTGCAGATGGTCCTTGTGCTGTGCCCTGAGTTGGCAAGGGTATGATGTCCAGCACATTGATAGGTGCCACTTGGTGCAGAGGGGATGGGCCATCCAAGGGCACTGCAGCTTCATGGAGACGATCTTTCAGCTGGCGGACTTCACCGTCCTTCTCTGCCATCATGACCCTTGCCCTCTCCTGCACATTGGCCACCTGCAGGTTGCACACGTACATACCAGCATCAGTGATCGTGCCACTTAAGCATCCGCCGCACATGTGCACACAAGCACAACACAGCATGCACCCAGCAGCAGCACATGGATGCTGAGTTACATGTGGGTACAATATGCCAGGCAACCCAGCAACAGAAGACTTTTGGTACACGTCGCTGGCTCATGCTCAAGGCAAGCATGCCACCTACAGTATTGGCCATGGCACACACTGATGTCTCAGTTATTGTGGACTATCGGGTGCTTCAGACAGCAGACAATTCTTATCACTTTGGTCACAATAGTCTTGTTCATTTTGTTGGACGTGAGAAATACGAATCGCACACTTAGATTGGTTGGTACGACTCCCTCTGGAACACATTCCAGGGGGCCAGAACGTGGCCTGCATACATTCAGAGCGCAACACATGGTGTTCCATTCTATTGATTACACTAACAAGAAATGACAACAGAGCAGTGCCTTCGTGCATAGCTGCAAGTGCTATATCCCATGACCACATAGTACAGTACCTTGGCCTCACTCTCTCGCAATTTGCTTGTCAAAGAGGAAATCTGTTGCTGACTGCTGTCCTCCAGTGACTTGAGGCTTTCTTTCAGGCTCCAAACCTGGCCATCAAGCTCTGCTTGTCTTATTTGGGCTGCATCCTGGAATAGAACAGGCAGCATTAACACTGTAATACCACATCATGCAAGCTGTTTCGAGGCAGACCCTGTCAGCCACTTTAGGAGATGAAAGCCCTGGTCATGGGCACAGTGGTGACACTTAACCACAAGCCAGAATGTTCTCTAGACATGGAAGTCGAATGTACCATATCTGATCATTGGCGATACAACTAACACAGGCATGGGAACATGCAAATGGGGATACGCAATGCATAGAACATGCCCTGCCAACCGTGTTATCAACAAGGCTCCTGCACTGGCAAGCCCACTACCTCTGCTTCAGCCACTCTTGCTTGCAGCAGTTGCTCCCGTTCATTCATCTCTCCCTCAAGCTGCCGCACCCTGACCTCCGCAGTCTGGCGGGCTGTTTCAGCCTCCAACACTCTCTCCTCGTTCTTTGCCTCCTGCCCCTTGTAGCGGCTGCGCTCGTCATGCAGTTCACATCGCAGAGTCTCCAGCTTCTCTTTTGCAGAGGCTAGGGCTGAATTCTTTGCATTTCGTTCACTGCACACATGCAGATACGGTTGAGACAAGTATACAACAGAGATTGGAACAAGTCAGGCACAAGCAATGAGCATGGGCACCATATGATCTAACAAACGCCACAGAGCTGATGCCCCACAAAAATGGATCATTGTATCTCTCCATGTTGGCGATTCCATGCCTGCGCCAAATGCATTCATACCTTCGTTCAACAAGCTCACGCACAGCCTTGGGCCAGATGCTCCTGTTCGCTGCCTCTTCCCCCAATGCATCAAGTTCTTCCTGCCATAAACGAGCTGCATCTGCGTACTGCTCCCTAGCGGCGGTCAGTGCTTCATTTGCTCTTTGGCACTCAGCCACAGAAGATGCCAACTTGTCTTCCAGTCTGCTGATAATAAAGCGCAAGGAAGACACCTCCTGTTGCAGTGCAGAGCAGTGATGCCCATCACCAACGTTCCTCGAAAAGAAGCCACTGTGAAGTCATAACACTGCATATGCAAGAATGGCCAGCACAGCTTATTCATGCGGCATCAGTCAGGATGCTCCATATTGCATCAAAAGGGACCAGATTTGATGGCCAATGGCACTGTGACCAACCTCTTCAAGTCCGTCACAAGCTGCACACGCAGCAGCCAATTGCTCACTCTTGGCCTGGCACTCCTCCTTTGTGGCTGATAGACTGTCTGTCAGGTGCCGAACTTCATCACAGAGACTTGCTTGTGCTGCTACTGTAGATTCCAAATGCGCTACCTGTAATTGTCAAGCAGACAGACAACAGACTTAAGATACGGATTATTTATTTCATCAACAAGGCCACAAGTCTCCCAGCTCACATACCATTTCTCTACTGCACAAGATTGCTGCTAATGCTTTCCCATTCATCAAGCTACCAACCACCAGTGTTGCAGAAGATGTGCACAACGCAAAAACATAGCAATATGTTCTGCAGCACAATGTTCTCTTTTGCTGTTGGGGCTCATTCCTCTTGTCCAGCACATGATCCCTGACTGTGCCTGCATTACATGCTTCTTTCCATTGTTGTTGACTCTGAGCAACTGCAAGTTGTCGTTTGTGAGCCTGTACAAAGGATCCAGATGCAAAGATCTGGTGCAGGAATGACATACTGTTATGCCACGCCTCGTTGTCTGCATGTTGAGATCTTTTCACACGTTGGGCGACCTCAACAAGGTACCTCAGTGTGTTCCATTTTAAACAGATTTGGCCATGACCCTGCAGAAACACAGCTTTCCAACTGCTGTATTTTTGTAAGAACCGATGCTGTGAAACAAACTGCTCCAGAACAAGACCAAGTCAACCACCTTCTCTTGAAGCAACGCCACACTGGCTTGAGCTTCTTTTTTCTCATCCAATGCCTCTGCTAGCTGCCGATTCACAGCATCCAAGTCTTCCTTGTGCTTGGCTGTGATGGCTTGCAGCTCATTCGCTGCCAGGTCCTTTTCCTGAATGGCCACGACCTCAGCAGCAGACAATCTACTCTTCATCTCTTCAATTTCTTTCTCCTTGTCTTGTGCATGCTTCTCAAGGTTTGATCTCCCCTACAGAACACAATCAGCTTTAAGCAATCTTCCGAATCCACGTCCACAAAGTGGGCATAATCGACTTGCAGCAGGTGCCCTCCAACAGTCTGTTTGATCCCGTAAGCATTCAAGCTGAACTCCAGGCCAGTGTCACCTTGTCCAGGAGATCGATTCTTGTTTGGAGGGCATCTGTTTCCTCTTGCCATTTCCGCTCTGCTGCCTCAACCTCACTTTCCAGATGCACTGCCCGTTCCTGCAAGTCTGATATCTCCTGTTGCATGCCAGCAACTTTGCTGGTCTTGTTCTGCTCAGAAAGTTTCTTCTCAAGAGCTGCCACTGTGCCTTGAAGGGAGCCTGCCTCTTCCTTGTGAGTTTCCGCGGACGAATTCCTCTCACTCTAAATTCAACAGCACATTTGCCCCGAATGTCAAGCCAAATCACTGTTGGCAAAGGCCCCATGGGGAACCCATATTGTGAACTACCAAAACGACTAGTCACAGTTGCATCAGTCCAGCAAATTTATCAAAGCAGGAAAACAGTGCACGGCCTCAGATGTGCACAGATGGGCTACATACAATGATTCACGTTTTGTTTAAACAGCTACAAATCACAAACCACAGGTGAACCATTAAAAGGCCAGGGAACAATACCCAAGAAGCGCTAGCAGCACTGGCATAACGTGGAATGGCCACATACTTAGAAGTGCCAGTGTCAGATTTCCATGATTGGCAAGGTACTGGACATCAACCTTCCATACCTGCAATCCCAACTTGTCTTGTTCCAGGCGCTCTTTGTGGATTTTCAGCGTCTCCAAATCGACCTCTCTGCAGCTTGTGATATTATGGATGGATTCACAGTGTGTAAGCATGCTGCCAACTTCCAACCCCAGCTGATCAGTCAGATTGCGCATATCTCGCTGCCACTGGCTCAGAGAACTGCATTGTTGGAGAGCATCCTGCAAGAATCTAAAGGCCCCCTCTGTCATCTGTTGCAGGTCCACAACCTGCGCCACATGAAACCTTCAGGGATACATGAACTCTGGATGCATGCTTCACATTGCCTAAACACTCAATTATGAACACCAAATCGCTGGAGCAATGCTGCTGTGGCAGCCAGGCAAACGGTTTGAATCCACTGTCAGCTCAAGCAAGCAAGCGTCAAGTCCCTGTGCTAGGATGCAATCGAAACCTGCATGCAGCCAACAGTCCATATCAACACATCATTGTCCTTGGAGATACCTCGCAAAGTCTTCTCTCCCAATTCAAAAGGGCCGTACAGCATCCCCTTGTTGTCAAGTATACCCTGTACCCTCACCTTCTGCTTGTACTTCTGCTCTCTTTCTTGTGCTTGTTGAGACTCAGTCTCAGCCACGGTCAGCTCAGCTTGGAGTCTGGCAAGTTGCTGATGCACTGACTCGTGACCATTGCCACAAGAACTGCGCACACTTTGGAGCTCTCTGCTGACACATTTCAATTCTTCTTCAAGCTCATGTTTCTCAAGAGTAAGACTGTCGGTTGCCTCCTTGAGATTTTCATACTGCTCTGACACCACGGATGCCTGGCTGTGGTGCACACGGTTTTCTGCCATTGCCTACAGCACCCAGTTCTGCAAATCAGTCATCACTGGCCATCCATTAAGTGTTGGTTGTGATAACGTGCATGCATGGGTAGCAACCTGACCAACCCACTCAGCTTGGAAATGCTTACGCATATATTGCTTCCATGATGAGCTGCTATCTCCAACACATCGCCAATGGCATCCAATCGTTCTGCTGAGCCTATTGCACTGGCACCACAACACCACCGTTGCTAGCAGCTGAATCGCAACATGCTGCAATCAAGACTCAAACAATACAAAAACTCACAATGCTCAAACAACACACTCACAAATGTATCCTGTTTTTCTGAGAAGAGAGACAGACAGTTGCAATTTGATGGCAATCCAGTTCAGTACATTGCACTTGCTGAGCTGACAAGAGTGTCAACGTACAGTACACAGCCCCAAAGGGTACATGGCACCCGAATTCCAAACGACTCTTCAGAGAGCCCACACCTGCTGCCTCTTCTCCCATTGGATGGCAAGCTCCTGCTGCTGTTGTTCATTCAATTCTTTCAGTGCTTCCACTTCCCTTTGCGAGGACTCAACACACTTTTTCAGGTGTTCAACTTGCCACGATAATTTTATCACCTTGTCCTGCACTTGGAACACAAGAGATTGGAGGGCGGATAGTTGTTGCAAAGGGAACACACTAGCAGGTCGACTTGTCACACAAGGGACAGAATTGCAGATTTTTCATCCCGGATGCTTGGATTGCTGACGACCACATCGCTGTGCCCAATGATTGTTTGTGCAAATCACTGGGCATTAGTGACAAAGGGCAGCCAGTCTCATGCACAACCACACAAACCCATGCATTGAGATCGCCCTCGAAAGTTCTTACCGGGCATGAGAGCTGTTGCAGCAGGTACTCCATCCGCATCTCTTGATGCACAGTGAGATCGGCTCCATCTCGAACTTCCGACTTCAGTTCCGTGGTCATCCTACTCAACTCTTCAACACATGCTGCCCTGTCTGCTGCCATCTTCTCAATTTCGCCAAGATGCGCAGCAATGAGGCCTCCATTGAATTCCCGGGGGGTGCCTCACCAAAGAATGAACCATTGAACTCAGCATTCTAAAGCAACAGCGAATAATCAGATAGGTTACACAATGCTTTGCATTCCAAACTACTGCACGGACAATTCTGCTGCAGTTGTTGATGCACGGGTTGTGATCACAGTGATCACACGTTGTGATCAAGGTGATGTTTGTACATGCCAAAGGGCCAGGAGTAAGGAGCAGAGAGACGTGTAGGGCACAACAACAGCAAGCAGAATAACCTGTCCACAGTCTGCCACTATGTGCAAGTCATGCTTCGCTGCCTCCAGTTTGTTGTGGCGAAATCGAAGCTACATGCCGGGGAACAGCATTCAATGTTCTGCGATTCGAATGACATACAAGTCATGCAAATAGCTGGGCATTCTCTCGTTCGATCTCGTTGGGGAATGGGATTTGAAGGGAGAATGGGATGCATTGACCATGAAATGTTGCCGCAGAGCGCAGCCGCACACATGGCCATTCAATGCATGCAACTTGTGATTCTTGAGTTATCCGCTGGCCATGCCATGTCTGCAGTGGTGTTGGATGGTAAGGAATGCAGGCTGCCGCATCCCACCTGGCACATCGATATCCCAGCTCACAGCAGCTGCACTGCTGCACACGCTAGAATGGCCTAAGCGATCTGCAAGCTTGACCTCGGCACAGTTGTTCTTGTGTTCACCACGCTGACTTATGGTGTGACTTGCACACAGTTGCTCAATTCCAGAATTGGCTCTGTTACAGCACTGAAGCGGCGTGACACCATCTGCCATGGGTTCCGGGCTTGCTGCTGTTGGCGTGCTGGGCTGCGTGCTTTTATACGCTGGGTTGGAATAGAGCACAATGTGTCTATCCTGTTGCGATGGGTGGCAACATTTCTGCCCTGGGCCAGTTTCATAACCTGCTGTCAATGTCTCAAACTGTGCTCATTTATGCAGTATTGTCCTTCACAGTTTGGCAGGCATGCCCTGCACAGGGCTTGCGCTTGATTGCATTCAATCACGTTCATCAGTCTAGAATGCCCTCCACCAATGCTGTGCTTGCTGCTCTTGAAATAGCGAAGCCTCCATGCAGCTGCAGCACTGTCATTCCAGAGGTCAACAGGCAGTTTGTAAGAAAATGCCAGCAAGCTCGGAGTTGCGGCCATCCATTTTGTTCGCACAGGGCCTGACTTGCTGCCAAAAGTGCCAAATCCACAGTAGGCCCTTACCTGATATTGAAAGAGAATTGCTCAGCGATCGGTCCAACACTGCAAACTTATCAGCACCACCCAGAATGGACTTCTGCTTGGCTGCATCCACCTCCTCAATGGCCTTCTGAATGGCAGCCAGTAGCCCAGCATACTGGACACGCGACAGAGAGAGCCCCAGCCTCTCACATCGGCCACTCCCAGCGATCTCCACCATCTCTGCCATCAGCAACTCAGACAAATCCACGAGCTTCTCAGACTCTTGCGTTGCTTGTGAAATGACCTTCTCAAACGGAGACCTGTTTTCCTCTGACTCAGTGTACTCCAGCACAGAATCCTGTGCACCACCGCTTCGTATGGGCACACCCGCCAGGTCCTCATCCACCTGGGCACTCACTGCCCTCAACTGTGTGGTCAAGACCTCATTGTCAGCAGCAAGGCGTGAGACGTCCGCCTCCAGCCTGAAAATCGACATCCTGAGCCGGGCCGTCCCTGCAGATGACAACCCGTCGAGCTGTTGCTGCAGTTCGTTTACCATAGCTCCCAGGCTGTCTCGTTCCTCTGACACACATTGGAGGTCCTGCTGGCAGCCCTGCAGCTCAGCTTTCAGATCACCCAGAGCGCGCTGGCAACTGCTTTTCTGAGACTGCAACTCTCCCAGCTGCACTCTCAGCTGTTCAACCTCCACGGCCAGCTCTTTATTCTTGTGCTGCACCTCTGAGTTCTGCTCATGGAGGTTGGCTATAACTGTGTCCAAGCCTCTCTCGTCATTATTGCTGAGCCTGCCCATCGATGGCCTTCGTGCATGTTTTGCTGGCTGCTGCTCAAGTTCAGCTTTGAGCTGAAGGTTTTCAGCCTCCAGGGTCTCACATTGTGCCACCTGCTCTTCCTGCTCCTGAAGTTTCCAATGCAGCTGCTGCACTTCTGCCTTGGACGTATCTAAGGCTGACCTGCTCATGCCCAAGCAACATTTGCTTCAGGAGCTGCCAACTGCAAGGCAAACTCTTGGTCTACATTGCCTCCTGGTGTTCACAGCCAACAGCAAACGACCAGCAAAATGATGGCCAAATCTCTAGAGCAGAACGAAAGCACTTTGCAGGCCTGGTCAGCACCGCTCACAACACATACCTCAGCTCTTCCAGCTGCTTGAGAACCTTTTGCTCATTTTCTCTTGATATTTGTAGATGTGATGTGAGTTCCTGCTTGCTTGCTTTGAGGCCTTCCATGGTGGACAGTAGTTCACCAGGCAGGCCATCAGGCTTGGATCCTATGTCGCTCTTTGCCATCAAGATCTGAAACTTCATTTCCTCAAGTTGAGCCCTCAGCTCCGAGTTCTCTTTGGCAGCGCCCACATTATCCTACATGCAGCATCCCGCAACATCGAATCAGCCAGTTCATGCACGTGCACAACCTCCGCTCCAACCAGACAATGTGCTAACCACATGTTGTCTTGGACGAACACGCAAAAAAGACTATGATGCAGAGCATTCAAAAGATTCAATTCATTCAACAAATTCCACGATGACGTAGCACATTGATGCCACCACACACACGCCATATGCAGTTTCTAATGGGCGATCCAGGAATGAGTCGATTATGCCAACAGGCACCTCAGTCCAGGATAAAATGCATGCTGCATCAATTAGGACCTGCAGTGTCTGTACCTCACATACGCTGTTCAGCCTTCTTATCTTCTCTTTCAGCGCTTTGATCTCCTGTGCAGCTGTATGTAGCTCTCCATCTTTTCCTTTGCGAGCAATTGTCTGTGGAAACAATGCAATGGCCCATTGAGCTGCAAGTACAGAACCACCATGGACACCAGTGAATTCAGCACCCTGAATTGAAGGGGGAATGGACACTTGTTGAGCTCCTGCCGGCAGCATGCATTGCGGAGCTTCCAATATTGGCAGCCTTCTGCAGAGGGCTAGTGACTAGCTTCCTCCTGAAAGTTGTCAAAATGCTAACACGACAAAATCTCATTGTGGCATCCCCTCCACTGCACACCATTGCCCAAATCAAGGGCCCAACGGCTCAAGTGTCTGATGGATCATCATCAGGGCAGAACACAATCAAAATCTCACCAGCTGATCCTTCAACTCCGCCACCCTTGTCTTTAGATCCGAATTCTCCTCCTGGACCCTGCTCAGACCGCGCAGCTTGCCTCAGAGGGCCTGATTCTGGGCCTGCATTCTAGCCAGCGTCTCCTCAGGAGCCATAGAATCCGTGCTTCCCAAGTCACTCGCAAGGTCGCTGAGGGTGTCATCTGAATAGACCAACAACCACAGGCGTCTCTCAGCTGCAGTACTCGCATGGCCACAAAGCAGGTCGGCGCTGAGGCAGAATTGCGCTACGAAACTTGAGAGGCCAGCGACCCTCCCACTTCTCCAATCAGCGCAGCACTTTGCGAAAGTTAAGACGAAAGACGCCCGACGACCATGCCCCTGGACGCCCCAGGGCCCTGGGGGTGGGTCAGCTCCGAACTGCATCCCTCCGCACTGGAACACAATTCTACGACAGCCTCCGACATTCCGTTGCACCGACCACACGAGCCACAGGCAGGCAAGCCGTCGCGGAGCGACCGCAGGCTGGCGCGCTGCTGCCGACGACGCGCCGGAGTGCGACCACGGCGGGAAGGCCGTGCGGGCGCTCTGAAAGGTCCCAAGCCCGCGGCGTGCAGGGCCCTACCCGAGGACCGCATCAGGCTCCTGATCCTGGACCCCACCCCGGAGACCTGCGTCCCCAGGTTGCGCGTCCTTTCCACAAACCCCTTCATCCTCCACCCGCTAAATCAATCAACGCCTCTGGCAGGTTCTTGGCCCGGTGGCCGGATGCATGTCTCCCGCCCTTTGGCCCGCGGCGGTGCAGCCGCGGGTCGGGTTTTTTGCCGCGCTCCGTCCTCGGCCCCTTACGCCCGTGCGCTCCGCCCGCCCCTAGCTTGGACCCCCTCAGGCCCCGCAGAGCAGGGGTTCTGACAAATAAGCCGCCAGCCGCGTCCGAGGTACTGCGACCCCCAAACCCCCCTGGTCCAAACACCCTGGGACGCGCACACTCGTCCCCCGCTGAAACCGTTGACAACGTCACATCACCGCGTGTATGACGTTGCGGAACAGGGCCACAGTCGGCAACACAACATGGGCTGGGAAGCTGCTCAGCGACTGCCACGGGCCTGGGAACGGAATCCCACAACGCACAGCCCTTGACCAACCGCAAGGGCCAACAGAGGATGGCGGTAAATTCTCCGTTTCCTTGTGCTCGCGGACACAAATTCGACCATGCATTTGTCACTGCGCTAATTGCCTTAGGTGGCTGGATGAAACCACCAAAGAATTTCCCCTTCAGCGCCTCTCCCCTCCATCCCCTCCAGATTTGTGGTCCTCCGGATGCTTCGGATTCCATCACAGTCGTTTTGAGCGCGACCACCGGCGAGCACTATGATGAATGAGGAAAGCCAGCATCGTGTTGCAGTGTATCGATTGCTGCTGTGTACTGGGACACGCTCACCACAGCAGCTTCGGCACAAAGGGAATGGGACGCTCACAAGCGCAAGGCACAAGTGCATTCACAGTCCGAAATAAGGAAATGGAAGGCGGGACTGCAAGTTGCGCAGAAAACCAACATCAGCGAACAAGCATGGCCTTAATGCTCAGTTGTCCCGCGCGTGGTGGCCCGCCTCAAGAACTTGGCGCCCTCCCACACTGCGGGGTTCAGCGACTCGCTCGCCCCGCAAGCCCCCTGACCTTCTACGAGATGGGCGTCCAATCCATGCGGCGCGACGTCCTCCATCCCATTTCCGGTTGCCTTGGACCCCTCCAAGGGCACGCTCAAAGGGTCACCTGGACACCGGCAGGGCGGCTCCTTGTGGCCAGCCAGCCCCCTCTTGGACACCTGCAACTTGTCACCGACGGCGCGCTGGACGGTGGCCAGCGGAAGGGAGCGATCTCCGACGCCTGTCGCAGGCCCCACATCCACGTCAAAGGGGTCGAGACTGCGCCGCACCAGTCCCTGTCCCACCAATAGCTGCTCGTCGGGCACGGAACGCTCGGACAAGCAGGGGGGCAGCGCGGCCGCCCGTGCACGGGCGCCTGCCCGGACTCGTCCGCGGCTGCCGTCGGGGTGAAGGATGGCGCATCGACGCGCTCGGACGCTTCCAAGAGAGACGCGATGCCAGGTGCCCACACCACACAAGTTGATGGCCGCACCCGCGACCTGGCGCGTAGCGGGCCACGCACGGGCGCCTTGCAAGGTCTCAAGGTTCCCGCGGTTCCCGACTTAACGCAGATGACTCGCATCAGCCCCGCCGTTAGCATTCCGATAGCGCCCGACTCACCGCCAGCCTGCAGTCCCTCCCCACTTGCAGTCGTGCGCGATTGCTCCGTGGCCGGCGGCTTGCCTGGCGTAGGCTCCGTGCTCGCCCTGACCCCGCGCTTGGCCTGCAGCGCGCAACAATCCAGGGCGTGCATTGGCGCATCAGCGCAAAGGCAGTCCCGACGATGGCCCCAAATTTTGGTAGAGCTGGGCCTTCCCACAACGCACCTGGCCGGCTCGATTGCGCTGTGACGACGAGCGCAGGAAAGCGCACACGGCGATTGCCGCTCCGGCCACGGCCGCCGCGCACTTGACTATGGGGAACTCCGAGCCCATGTCCTTGGTCTCATCGCTAGCTAGACACTCAGCTCATGGGAAGCGCGCGGCCTGCTGCGGCCCACCGACCCGCGCCAGGCCGTGCGCTATGGCGCCCATCGGGCTGGGGCGGTCGGGGCTCAAGAAGCAGGGAGAGGATCCACATTGGGATGTGTCACAATGGGAAGGTGCAATACTGGGCGGGGCGGCGTATTGGATGCGCCGGAGCGGGCAGACGGGCGGTGCTGCTGTGTTGGCGGCGTGCGCCAAGGTCGCGTCAATCGCGAACTGTCACAAATCAAGATAAGTTTTCTCATTCGGTAGTTCAGGGAAGACAGCAGGTCCCTGTTACTCCCCAGAAAGGCATCCACTGATGTCAACACCCCTGCGATTTTGTTGATTTCATCAACATGGCCACCGTGGCGTGGAGCTGGTGGAATGCCAAGGTGTAGGATTTGTATGCCTGGGTTGGATTGGCACCCCGCCTACGAAGCCACATATAGACAGTTGCCATTGTAGGATGATGAACTTGAAGCAGGGCATACCTTGATCGGTGCATAGATATGCCAAAACATTGGAGACAAGGGCCACACCATAGAAATGAACGCGTGGCGCCCAGATTGTCGATTGGCTTGGATGTTGTACGGGCAACTGAGCGAAGGGCTCTGGGATTCAAGTGCACTGGAGGGGCACCCACGGGTGTGTAGATCATAAATGTAAGGAATCGCAAGAAAAGCCTGGACTCGGATTGTGGCTCTGAATGAGCAGGTTTACCGTGTTGACCTTTACATAGATTTAACAGTAGGAGGTGACATATATGGCACCTCAGTTTCGCCACCAAAGTACGACGAACACGGTACCATGGGGATATGGAGCATGCTGTGCTCGATTGTGCATGTCCTGTTGGAGCTCAGCTGCAAGACCGCGCAGGTCTGTGGTTCTTGTCACGGACTAAATGCCAACAGTAAATCTTCAGGACTGCCCTGTTCATCTTTGTGTGAGTCTGTGCATGCACTGAGAGGCTCTTGCATCATCTTCTAGGAAAATGTGCATCGCTGGTGCTGCTCAGGAGGTTTGTGGTTCATCTGGTTACTGCGTGATGCTGAACGGCTTGTGTTGAACACCATCTGTGTCCTCTTCATGTTGGCAAGTAGACGCGGGTGCCAACGGGCGTATGCTTCATGTTCAAGTTGAGTCCAAAATTCCATATGTCGATGACACTGATACTTTCGCCTTGGGGAATTGTAATGTTTTGCAGTCGTTTCCGCTCTTCTACTTCTCAAAGGTAACATATCCACGGCGTTTAAAATGGAAAACCAACGTCTTTCAGATACTCTCATGCACGCAGTAAAACTGGGTTTTCTGCCAGCTCTTTCAGCAATGTTCCTGTCGCCAGAATTCACTAGTTCCTGAAAGAACAAGTTGCCTTACCTCAGAATCAGAATTTCCCTGTTTGGTTAAACTAAATACGCTCAGCACTGTAATGATTACAGTGCAATCGATACTGGCTCAAGCTTGACATCAACATCCAGTGAGTTTTGGCAAAGCATTTTGCAGATTTCCTGGCCTTGCAATTTAATCAAGGATGAAGCCCAAATGAACCAATTTTGCTGTCTAGAAATTCCATTTTGGTGTTACATGCCGAAATGTAACACCAAAATGGAAATTTCAGACATCAAAATTC